GGATGTCGTTCAACTATCCAACTATTTTAAAGTATTTGAAGTCAATTTAAATAATTGAATGTTACAACTAATGAAACACAATGAAATTACACAGTTTCGGAACAACGGCATGACAAAAACAGAATTGTACTAGCTTATTTAAGGGCAGTTCTTTACAAAAGTGGACTTTTGTTCCCCATTTCAGTCTAAACGTGAATTAAGATGAAGAAATGGTTCTTCCACAGCAATGTAGTAACCGAAGTAAACTGTTAGATCTGGTAACAAGAAGCATAACACTCGCTTTTCTGGCTAAGAGACAGGCGAAAAGGACCCGCAAGCACCGCATGGTATGGTGGTGAACACGTTACTCCCCGGAAAGGGCAACAGAGCGTTCGTTCCCCACCTCATACACCTGCGCTCCGGATTTTTTCAAATATCGGCATTGTTGTGCAACCACATAATACCTTCGTTCTTTCGCATAATACCCCACCGTGAAGAATTGTAGTAGGCGTCGAATAAAAAACAAACTCGCTTTTCTCTTCATTGAGGGCAGTATGTTATACTACTGAAAGAAAGCGGGTTCATAGGAAATGGAGGAGAATTAGTGCAGTGGGACATCACTGCTGTTTTGGTCACTGTTTACTTTGTCAGCTCTTTCATTCAGACCAACCTATCTATCTTTGGCTTCTATAGGGATTGTTCACTGAATCTTTCAGCTTTTATTATCCTACCTGCTCCATCTATAGATTCTAACTTGTAGTTTATCTGGTAACAAATTCGTTTGCAAAAGAATCAGCATTGGCTCTTTGATTTAGTCTCCTCCGACGGTCACAATGGAGGCTGATTCCATATTGTGTCTTCGACTGTATTTACTGGATCAAAAATGATTGTTGTGATTCACTTTAAGGAATTTTCGACAATATAGTTCATAAATGAGTTGTACGTGAGCTTCTGTTTTCTCCAATGCAACCTATGTGTGAGCCATACAACGTGTAGGAGAAAATTCCATAAGTCTCCAATGCAACTATTCGAGGACGCACAGGTTAGAGAATGCGCTAATGAGATAGGCAAACAAGCTTGTTATTATTGTTGTTGTATAGTTTAAATTCTTCATCTTACGCGAGATTTTAGACGTCTACTTCTTCAGAGCTGATGGTTCGAGTCGATTGTCCAGAATCGTTCGTCCTCGTGGTGTGGGTCTTCGCAGTTGCATCGAGTCGGATCTTCTAGAGTAGAGCACCACTCGAACGAATTAACCTCATTCGACGGTCTACTTTTATGTAGGATGGTTGTTAACCGATTGTTGAGCGACAATGATTTCTTTTTATGTTGACTATGCCTTCAGTAGCAGTCAGTATTGAAATAAATATTATTGGACTATGTGATAGCTGTTCTAATACTGACTGTTACAGAATATAATCGACATGAAAAGAAATCATTACCAGTCGACAATAAATATCAATAAGCAACCATCCTAAATAACGGTACACTCCTGACTGAGGTTACTTCATTCGAGTGGTGTTTCAGTCAAGATGATTCGACTCGATACGACTGCAAAAACCCATCCCTAACGTAAGAACGAACGATTCTGGACACTCGACTCGGGTCTCTGAAGAAGGCGAAGGCGTCTAAGCGTTAACCGAATGAAACTCATACAACAGCCCCATGTAAGCTGAACAACGTAAACAAATATGTTCATTGCTCATTATACGTCGTGGTTAAGTGATAATCAGTTCGATAAGATATTATTATTCTTATTATTATTACTATCATCATTATTGCTCTCTGAGTTCTAGAAACTTTGAGAAGGCCAGTTTTGATATCGTTAGACTTCCTTGACAGAAAAATTTTAACTTTCATAGTGCGCCGTTAAGTCTAGCACGAATATCAAGCCAATTTACGGACACCATATAATATTTATTTAGCACTTAAATATTTGAAACTGAGATTCTCAACGACTACGGTCAGATGGTGTCAGCGAGCAAACGATAAATTCAAATGAAAAAACTCTTTCAAAGACAGAAAGTTCAGAGAAACCGAATTGATAGTACGAGCACATGTGGAAAATTGGGGCTACACATGTTCATTCACAACCAAACAGAGAAAATGCTAAACCGCGACTTGATTTTTTCTATTACTTGTATTATTTATTATTATCTCGTTATTTTAATTTTCAAAAATTATTTAATCAATGCCGGGGTTAATAGAAATTCTTTCGTGGGAATTGTAACGACAATCTCTTGTCTGCTCATCATCAAAATCGTCAGTAAAATTCGAGTTACGAATGATTTCAATGCAAGCATGTCAGTCGTAAACCATGAACGAAACGATGAATTAGGGGACATCACCGTGCCCACTTAGATGAAATCCCAATGGTTCGCCCGGTCGTTTCATTGCTCAAGTTGACCCTGGCCCTAGACAAGCCTCGACGACAGAAAGAAAATTCAGAGGAGATCGAAAGAAAAAAAGGATTCAGTTATTAGAAAAAATTCAGTAATAAAAAAAACTACCCCGTTTGAAAAAACTCACTATTACAGCCAACTGATCCTAGTTTAAACTAAGAAAGCCCACTATGAGTTGACATATGTTTCTTCAAATCTGAAAACATCAAAATATTGTGAGGAATATACGCATTGAAATCAATGCGCATTGTTGTGAAGTCTTTCAGTATAGTAAGAATTCCGCAAAACTGACGCGATATTTTCTCACATTCTACGAAACCGCGCATTGAACATGCAATTGTTTGCAAACTGCTCAATAAATAAAGTTTAGTAATTCTCGTAATACATTTTTTTGTAACAAAAAAATCCACGTCAATGTCAATCTGTCATTAGAGAAACAAAAAATAACTATATTTTATGCCATCACCAAATAAGGAAAGTTAAGTTTGAAAAAAGCCTTAATTAACGCCTTTCGTAGAAATACCCGGGTTTCCTACAAATATCCCGCTTTTAAGAAAAAGTACAGAAACAGTGTTCACTTGTAATAAACCTAATAAACCCTTTACAACCCTTACGACGGTAATCAACCGCACACAAAAAGTGACGGGAAGAACGACGGTCAACTCAATTGTTTACGAGGTAGAAACTTGTAAATCACTGTAAACTATATGAAAGCAAGTATAACACAGAAACCAAGGTGTTCTTTCGTACATACGCTCTGATTTCCACTCAGAGTTTTTCACAGGATTTTTTATTTATGCCAATGCACTTCCGAGTAACGTTCGAGGTATGCGCTCATTGAGACTGAGCAAAAAAGAACATCATTCCAAGTTATCCGAATACGCTGAAAATCAACGTAACGCTTACGAATTTTTAAGAAAGCTAAACCAGCCTAAAATTATTCAAAGTTTTACCTTCCTGCTTTAGAAGCCTTGCCGATGCTTTCGTGTTTTTTCTAGCGCTATTTTTCATCTTCTTTTCTAAATCGCAACAGATACCTTCTGTACAGCTTCTTTCATTTGTCCGGTAATCGAATTATGTGTATTTTCCTAATATCTGTGTTCTTTCTATATTTTTTCGTATTTATTTTTCATATTGATGATTTTGTACTCTCCTAGTGCTCATTTCAAATAGGTACCTTCCTTCCTTAAGTAACTACGAGTTTTTCCGTAGTTCGTCGTTGTCGTCTAGTTGATCACCTATACTGCGAGTAAACTTAACGTTATGGAGTGTCTCCCATGGCGGTGGTGCAATGTAATACACAGTGGATCGACCTTTGGCTCGATACCGTGTCTCAGGCACGCCAAGCCTTCCATCCCTCCGGGTTGGGCAAGTTGCTACCAGCTTTGTCTAGGAGGATAAAAGCACAGACCTGATACATCGTCAAGTCACCACAACTCATAGTGTAGGCCAGATGTGCATTCAACCACGTCTGTGGTCCTATGAATAAAGTCGGGTGCATGGCGAATCTCTCAGGGATTGATTAGTGCCGAACGCTTTTTCTTTCATTCTTTTTTAAAACCCTTAAGTCCTTAAAATTTCAGGTCGAACAGTGCAGATAAAGTTTCAGCATTTAGCTGTTATAAAAGTTCATCTTGTGGCGTTAAAGAGAAAAAGACGTTGGTAAATACCGGCTTGGCACCTGCAAATCGAGAGACGTTGGAACTTTTACATTGCCATTGGCGAATACAAATTTGGTTTCAGACGGGCGTACAAAGATTTTCTGGTTAGGATACATGGATACGGATGAAACGAGCAGGCTGACTGGTAGTCAGTTTTATTGGCATGGCTATGACCACTCACAGTAACTCACAATGCCAGAAGAGCTCTTCCAAAGTCGACGTGTGGATCTTCCGGGAGACTCTTGGTAGATGTATGAAGGAAAAAATTCGTATGTAGACTTGGACAGGTTTTAGTGAAAATGAGTATGAGTCAACATAAAGCTGAAAAGGCTAAAGCTGTCGGCGTTGATCAATCCCTGAGGGATGCGCCATGCATTCGACTTCATTAAGTATCGCTGGAGGTGGTTGAATGCATATGTGCTCTGAGCTGTTCAAAGCGGCTCTGAGGAAGGCGATACTACCGAAACGTCAGCTAGTGTTGTATTGTATTGTGTTTTTCTATGGATGTAAATGTATGCTGTTTAAAAACCTCGCGATTGCTGAACAAGAAAACGACGCATTAGACATTAAAGAAGGGAAACTAATATTGGACGTCCTCAACAATGCTTCTGCAGAATTTATTCTTTGGTTGGGTCTTAATAGAAAGACGTGAATGAGATTTGTATTGGTTTTTGATGATCCATCCTGGCCCAAGGGAAGCAATATCTTGAAATGCTTCAGTTGTACATTTCTGGGTCAGGATAAGGATGAACTGAAATTTTATTGAAGTCTTCCGGAGTCCTTCAGCCATTAACCCAAGGACGGTGATCCAAGTGATGCCGGTGGGCAAACAGTTAAAATTTTATGCTGCAACTTTATCGTTTGGCGCTTCTTCCATTATATTTCAACGGTTATTTCTTCACGACAAGTCTTTCTCATAGTTTATGGCAATCATGACTGCAGCTCGCTTTTTTTCAGAATGTCACCCTCAGGAGGTGATCCGTATCGATCGCCTCCGATTATTCGGAAGCGAACCGCATTCCCACTGACCATCATATTCCGGAAGCTGTTTGGGCTGCTCATCACAATTTTGGCAATGTTCATACTTGTTGCTGGAATTCCTGTCTACCTCATTCTAGGTATTATTGGATTTTTTAAGAAGAAATCAAGACGATGGTCGTACGAACAAAGGTCGGTCAACAGTTACTCCTTTGTGCACATAACATTTAAAAGCAATTCGATTTTAAATTTTTCAATCTATGATTGATTCCAGATCCTCCTTGTTTGATACAATGCTTAATTCGGTGTTCCAACAATCGTAATTCACTAAATTACAGTAAACTAGAGCTCTTCTGTTCATTTAACATTGAGTGAGTGAAGAGAAAGATGTGAAACTACTAATCTCTGGTATTTCTTCTATGGAAAATGTTTTGTAAATTCTAAATAAAGTGAATGAAAAGAATCAAAATAAGACTTATTGATTGCTGCTTTGATTCTTGGAAGACGTTCTCCGCATTCAGGTGCTGCACTCACCAATGGCCGATTTGCGGCACCAGTCCGGATCTTGCGGGTATGATATTTACGGGTACTGTAGATTTGGAGACAATTAATAAAGAAGTAAGTTTAATACAAGTATTCAGTTAGTAGCACTTCGCTTTTCTCCAAGATTTTCTGTTTTTTATGGACTTTGAGTATTAATCTTTATGCCGGTTTTGTTGCAATTTTTTCGTTTGTCACTTTGAAGGTGAACTGCAAGCTTTATCCAACAAACACAAACAAACAAACAAACAAATAAACGAGTAGACAGGCAAATAAACAGACAGACACAGACAGGCACAGAGAAACTGACTGACTGATTTACTGAGTGTCATATATATATATATATATATATATATATATATATATATATATATATGCACGCAGAGACACATTGGACATTGGCAAGTTATGTATGTGTGCACATATATACACAAACATAAATAAATAAAGAGCAGGTATGTTTTTTCAGCTTCGGCGGGTCATACTGGATAGTGAATCGAATCTCTTTGTAGACTGTTCTAGTAATGTAGCACCAAATATTGGAAAATTATGGGATCAGAGGTGAATGAATTTCTTGTGCAGTAAATATGACGTAAAAGTGATTTTGAATATCACGCTAGTTTTTTTTACGTTTCCAGTGCGTACCGTTTAACAGCGGACGACAAGCTGTTGGAGTTACTACTCCAACGAAACGTGCTACCTGTCGGTCAGATGTCTGTTTCGTTAGTACCTGGGTTCGAGCACTCTCTCAAAGTGAGTCCTGCACCAGATTCACTTCTTTATACTAGCTGCTCGTTACGAAAGGTATTGATATCTTTTTGTTATTCGTTATGCGTTGTGTTGTGTATGATAGAAGAGTGATATCCAGACTAACAACTACCGAACTTTGACTGAATGATATTCAGTAGTGTTAAGTCTGGTCAAACGCTTAAAGACATGCGATTCAACCAGTGTTTCGTTTGTTTTTGTTTAACTGGTCAAAGTCGGAGGTGTAGTTGAGTCCGCTGCATTTGCTTGTCTACCACACAATACATGAGTTTGCTGAACAGCGAGGAACCTCGTCGAAATTTTCCACATCTGCTTGGAGATACATCTGGCTAGTATCCGAATTTTTGAATATTCTTCTATTATGTGCTCTGGAAGTTTAGGGTTTGGTGACGTCTTCGCTGCTGTTGACGTCAACAGCTGCCGATTGCCCGTTTGTATGCACACAGCGACTACTGTGTATGTGTGTTAATGAGAAGACGTCATTTGAGGTTATTTTTCTATATATTACAAGATCAATTTATCCATTTTATCGTTTTAAGTCTATCTCGACATTTACCGGTTTTTTTTGCTACTTCTGTTTGACTTTTTTATCACTTGCTACTTGATGGTGCGTCTTTTCGAAGAGCGGGTTCCAACGCATTTTCAAACGGCTGTGATCCTAGCGTTTAAGCAAGATTTATCTCAGTGACCCTGAGGTAGCTGTTCCAGGACATTTTAGCATATCTACCGTAGACAGCCACCAATCCTTATCCGTTCGATAAAACCTTGCCATTGGGTTTATTCCAGAACGGGTGCAGTTTTGGCATAGATTTATTCTTTTTTTAATGTGAAATTCCTTCTCGGATTCAGTACCTATGCCGAGAATGGATAAACTAGACGCTGTATGTCGTAATTTGATAGTAGAGAGACCTTCTAACTACGATATAGCAGTAGACCTCATAAGGAATTTCTGTTTTGCGGTCGATAACTTGATGATTACTTTTTGTATCAGAAATCTCCACCAATGCATATGTATATATACGTATATATATATGTATATATATATGTGTGTGTATATATATATAGGCACGTGTAGCGATGTGGTCGGAGGCACCTTGCAATACAAATGGGACCGACCCCGCGCCCCAGGATCGCCGATCTTTCCATCCGTTCGGGGTCGGCAAATTAGTACTAGACTTGTCTGGGAGGCAGCACTAGCTCCGTACATCGATAGACCACCGCAAGTCGTTGTGTAGGCCAGGTATACATTCAGTCACCTCTAACAATGCTGAATGATGAATCTCTCAGCGCATCTCTCAAGGATTGATCAACGCATTGCGGCAAAGCCAGTCATTAACCAGGATTAACATAGTGTTTCATTGGGATCTTTTTTTTAACCTCATGAACGGAGCAATATATTTTTGATTACACTCACAATGTTGGTGAGATATTTGCAAAACTCCGGACCGCAGGTGTCTGCGGTAGGGAACGGACGCGCTACTACCCTCTCCGAGGACCAACGCGTTCACCACTACACCATGCGGGTATTGCGTTTCGCTTCTCTCCGCTAGTTCTATCGATCAACGCCATCAGCAATCACCCTTCAACAGGATTAATCCGAGGAGCGCAAATCGGCGACCAACCCAGTTAAGCTGAGACTGTAGTCGATAGAACTAGCTGGGAGATAGGCGAAACGAAGGACCCGCATGGTGTGGTGGTGAACGCGTTGGCCCCCGGAGAGGGTGATAGCGCGTTCGTTCCCGACTGAAGACAACTGTAGTACGGTGTTTTGCAAATATCTCAGCATCATTGTGGTTGTATCACACGTAATACCCTGCCATGAAAAATTGTAATAGGTACTGAATAAGAGAAAGTTAACATTATTTTTGATTGTTTTGTCCAACTATTTCTTCCTTTTTTATAGCTTAACATATCGACTTCCTCGTAATTTATGTCGTCTTTAGTTGTGATCATGTTTTTTTTATTGAACGGTTAGATGATTTTGTGAGAATATTCTAGTTTTTGAGGAAATTCAGATAGGATCTCACACTCCTGTCAATGGATTGCAGCAACACGTGTTTGGCAGGCTTCCACAAACAGCGATTTGTATGAGCTGTAAGGTGAGTGAGAGTTCACATTTTTCCATTGGCTTTTGAAGTATCAGTATTTTCAATCAGAACCCTCTCCTGTAACAATCTGGTGATATCTGCGTTCCTAAGATTGTATTGTTTACTCATTTCTTCATCGTTGAGTAAGATGTATTTAGTCCATTCGGTTCAGGCTTCATAGCTTTAGTGATTTTTTAGGTCATCATCACGAAAAAAACCGACCACTGCTTGGGGTCCTTTTACAAAAGGCTAAATTTGTTATAAAACACTACATGCAAAAGCAATCTGCGAACGGAATTTAACTATTGAAGCCAATGTTAAGCATGTAGTTAACTTTGAATACATCTACAAGGGAATACTTTTGCAATACCGTACTCGGAGTAGTTTGTAATAACTGAGACTATCTAAAAGCTAACAATTCGTGAAGTGAAAAGAGATGTCAGATTGAAAATTTGTTGTATTCGCTTGATATTTATGATTATTTGCAATTTTCAATGATTTGCTGTCTTTTTTAAGCATCGTGTTTAGTTTGCGCTCAGTGGCCCGTCCTCACTTCTGGTACTCGCCTTACGAGGTCAGAATTCAGTATGGAAACATCTTCAGCATAAAGATTATGTACCTAACAGGAACAGGTTAGTCCCACGATTTGTCTCCTACTGGTATTTCTTTTATTATGCTGGGAATCAAGAAAAACAACTAAGAAGTAAGGAAATGGTGAAAATTATTGTCTTTAAGGCAATATAAATTCCAAGTAGTTTTTTAAGAATTGGAATGAAAAAAGTGAAATGCGAAATGAAAATATCTTTGGTTGGTTTTATTCCTTAGTAAATGTTAGTTGTTCTAGGATAAGCACTCGAAATAAGTTCGTGGTGTTTTTTTAACAGGAAAGTGGAAATGTCGTGAATTTGTTAAGTACAATGATTTGTAATAGAGTGTTAAAATTATGTCCTACATTCTTTGTACTTCTGTTTAGCAAACACGAGGTGTTACTCTATTTCTTTATTTACGTACAAGCTGACGTTTCGGCGGATTTCGCCTTCCTCAGAGCCCACTATTCTCCTCCAGAGGCGGTCCTCCAAATACTGAGCATAATAGTTTTCTTTCTTCTCGCACTTGTTCCACTTGGCGAACATCTGGTTTTGTTTGCTTCGTAGACAGGTGCGAAATCTGCAGATCGTAATATTTGCAGATCGATGTCCAGTACTCGGTGGTCATCCTCTGGTAGTCCGCATACTTCGTGTAGTCGTTTTCTTTCTATGAATTTCGGAACGACTTGGTGTTTTATGCAGTGGCGGAGAAAGTGTATCGCCTGTCGAGCTAAGACGATCTCTTGCAGAAGAAGCACTGTCACTAAGACAAAAGATCGTCTTAGCTCGGCAGGCGATACACTTTCTCCGCCGCTGCATAAAACACCAAATTGTTCCCAAATGCGTAAAAAGGAAACGACTACACGAAGTATGCGGACTACCAGAGGATGACCACCGAGTACTGGACATCGAATTGCAAGTACTGCGCACCTGCCTACGAAGCAAACAAAACCAAATGTTCGCCAAGTGGAACAAGTGCGAGAGGAAAGAAAACTATTATGCTCAGTATTTGGAGGACCGCCTCTGGAGGAAAATAGTGGGCTCTGAGGAATACGAAATCCGCCGAAATGTCAGCTTGTACGTAAATAAAGAAATAAAGTAACACCTCGTGTTTGCTGAACAGAAGTACAAAGAATTATTCAATCAATGCCGAGGTTAATAGAAAGTCCGACTTGGGAGTTACTACAAGATATGTCCTACATGTTCAGACCACTCATATTAATATAATATTACGTGTTTGACATTTGAGTGAAGTAAAGATGAAACAGACGTGTGTAGTGCAGTAGTTAAGTTGTTGTGCAAGACGCACGTGGTCTTTGGTTCGTTCCTGCTCTCACTCACTCCAAGCCTTCCTTCTCTGCCGGGTAAGCAAATTAGTATCAGATTTGTCTGGAAAGATAGAAAACACTGACATGATCAGTTGGCTGCATCAACTCAGGGAAGATGTACATTCGGAAAGCCGAACCAAAATACAAAACGATTGGAGTTGAATGCATGGCACATTCCTAAGGAATTAGCTCGGTCGAAAACTTTATCCTTTACATTAAAAAGAAAGACGACGAAGAAATTATATCTAAGAGAATTTCTTTGTTTTCTTTTTCCTATGATTCTATTTCGTTTTAGTTTTACTTAAGTGTGTGTAACTTAATGTGGGTTTAGGAGACGTTTGAGAGTGCTGGAACATCGTTCTTCGTCGTCAATGCTGATGAATGCAGTTCCGGAGAACACGAATTCCGACACGAAAAGCCCGACACACGTCGTGCATCATAGCTCGTCATTGCACAGAAATGGTGCACATCCTAAGAGGCAAAACAAGGAATCGAACTTAGTTAACAACAACTCTGGAGGCGCATCATTTTCTATCCAATGCTTATTCTCAGAGTAGTGGTGCTAAAGAGTTTTCGCAACTTAGTAATACAACTTTTCGTCATTGCTTACTGCTTGCTCACTTATTTGATTCGAAATGCAACCAGCCACAGGGCAAGCTTGTGCTTTTTATATCGTATGGGGCTTCTCTTGGCTAGTTCTCACCATCTCCACTCTATGATAATTGAATTAATTGACATTATCGAGTTTTTGTCAAACACTGAATGGAGCTGGTGTTAATTTTAGTGGTTCGACCGGCTGTTCATCGGCGATCGTGGATGACGGTAGAACACCCGGAGTTGTTATTCCGAGCTGAGAAACTGCTCCGAGCCAACACATGCGAACTACTCCTCTCGTTGGTCGCAGGCGCATTAAGGAATTATTTTCGTGGACAGGTAGGATCGACCGGCTGTGGAAACATAGAGTTGCTCGATCTGTACTGGAAAGGCACTATAGAAAAGTGAAAGAAGAGGAGATTAAGTTGTATTTTACGCGTTTCACGGAGGAATCATTTTAAAAATTTTTCTTAAAATCGGTTTTCTTCCAGGGTATTCTTCATCCGCCTGACCTTGGCTGCGTGATTCCATTCTCGGCTCGTGATTTGACGGCAGTAGGTGACTGTTGTGAAACGAATTTATTACCACTGGAGTTGCCGACGAGTGTCGAAGGTGAGTCAATTCTGTTTTGGCACTTTACTAAGGATTGTTCTTACGTTTTTCAACATCAGTAAGTCGACTTCTTTTTTCCTCTAAAACTGAAATAGAAAGTGCTAAACAATTGGAGCCATTCATTCAGTGAAGATAGGAATTGCCGATATGGGCATTTCTGGAAAACCTTTGTAAGGTAGCTGGATGATCACGTTGGCGTAACTTTTGAGTATTTAGGTAATATTTAGAGATATCAATTGCCAGAGAAACATCACAGGTTGAATCTTGCAATAAATTTGCTCTGCAGTTTCTGTGATGAATATTCTGAACATTTCCCAAGATCGACTTTCTATTAGCCTCGGCATTGGATTATAAATGCAATAAATATAAATGAGTCGTCAACCATATGCGACGCTGTTCAGTGGCTCTTCCTCAGTGGAACGCACGTAGAAAAACGGCTCTGAAGAGGACGATTCTGCCGAAACGTCAGCTACGATTGTATTTGTATTATATGTGTGTTATTGTATGGAAGTAAACGTACGCTGTTTAACAACCTGGCGATTGCTGTATAATATTTGATTTCTAGTGATTAATTTAAACAACTGTGTTAAGTTGTTTAAGGTTAAATCCTCCTGAGAGTAAAACTTCATAAAATCCCTGTAAGAAATCGGAAAGTGTTATGTGTTGCAGGGGCGATTCCACGGCTTTGGGCCGTGCAGAAACGTGTCGCGAAAGTGGTCCGTGGTCCAATGTCGGGAGCGATCGCGGTCGCACGAGGCCTAGGTGAGATGCCAGCATTGCTAAGTCCAAAGGATATCTTATGCAGTTGTTGCTGTGGATCATGTGCTGGTCTCCTTCGTACTTTCAGCCCGCCTCTGTCTGCCGGCTTCAGCGGCGAAATGTGCACTTCGGGTTTTCTACAGGTCGCATGGCGTCTATTTCGCTTTTTATCGGGTTAGCGGGAGTGTTTATGTAAGTACTGTGTTGTTTCTGCCATTTAAAAATTCTTTTGGGACTTTAAAAAAAATTTCCTCGTAATGGGCATTTTACCATGTTGTGCTAGAGATTTCACTATGTGTTATGTATCGGTATGACACATTTCCCATACTTAGGAGTATAGAAAAGTATTTAATTGCTCTGTTTTTATTTGCTTTTGTTGTTTAAGGACAGTAATGAGCGCATATAATATTTTGAAACCTAACTGTAGTAGCCAAATCCAATTGAAAGGGCAGAAGCATATTTCTGTGAAAATAAAAGATAAAGGACAAAGCTGTCGGCGTTGATCAATCCCTGAGGAATGCGCCATGCATTCGACTTTATCGTTTGGAGGTGATTGAATGCATATTTGGTCATTACTATCACACGCGGTAGCCTATCGATGTATCGAACCAGTGCTGCTATCCTCCCAGACAAGCCTGGCACCAATTTGGTGTCCCCGGATGGATGGAAGGCTGGTGAGCCGAGGTCGCGGGCATCGATCCTGTGTCTATTGCAGGGCGCCTGTAATCAATGCGTTACACCCACCCCATCCCTTATAATTTATTTGTAGTAATAGGCAGGCAGAAGTGGAGAAGTAGATGGAACAGCTGTCAGTCGATTATTCATCTGTTCTCTTGACACTTGACACTTGACTGGCCCATCCTTATTGATTGTGTGAGCTCCAGCAGAATCTCCATTTTTTGGAGATTTGCTGGCTAAGCCATTGTGGTTTGGAATCCCTAGGTCAGCCTGGCCAAAGTCTGCCCCAGCTCTTCACCACCACAATCAGACGCATGCCTTGTGGCTCATAGGGAGATTTGCCACCATGCGACTTTGATACCAGAACGGTGGTGGATCCTGGTATTGGTTTACTCTTAGCTAGGCTTCCTGATGGAAACGCCAAACTCCTTCTCAGCTTGGGAGACCCTGCCAGAGGATGAATCCCTCGCTGTACATCGCAGTCCGACACACAGGAACACCTCCTAGCCACGATGAGGCGGTAATCCGTTGGGAGGCATCTGTTCTCTTCTCGTATCAACTTTCCATCTGGGCTCTGCCTTTTCAAAGCTGACGAAATCCGTCGTATTTCCAGTTGGGGTCGTTTGGACGAAAAAGTAGTGTCGAAGTCGGATGTTCAGTACTCATTTGAATATAATAAATGTAAGCAACTGCGTGTATGTGGCAATGTTAACGAATTAGCTTGTATACAAAGAGTGGTGGGGATAGCGCAGTGGTTAGTGATGTCGTCGATCAAGAAGGAAAAGGTGCTAGTTCGATCCCCTCATCCAGCGTTATTCACCAATCCACGTGGGAGCGCCTTAGCTTCGCTGTCTCCAAGATTGCAAGGAGAATTGAATCGACCAGCATTCTAGAACATTCGTAAAGAAGTCGAAATCCTCATGCAGCAGTTGAAACAGAACGCGAAATGTTCGAACACCGTTGTGGGCGACGAATGTGTGGCAAACGAATTGAATGGAAGAACTACTGGGATTCGCAGAGCAGATTTGGTTACAGGTCGGGTAAGAATTTAAATCAAAAAGTACAGGGAGTAATTTCTACAACGAATTTTGGACTAGGCAGGCTGTAGGTTCCGTATAATCTTCGCTGTGAGGAGCTCACAAACTATCTGTGGTTTCTGAAATGTGAATATTCACATCCACATGCTCAGAACATCATTTTCCATTCAAGGAACTAGCAATGACAGCGTTAGCGATCGCATTCAGATCAGTTCCGATGCTCATCTGCAAACGACGTTCGCCTTTCCGTCGTTGACCTCCTCACTTAGAGCGGCATTCGTGTTCGTTCAGCACGGCAACATCATTGATATGAGCGTCTCGCTTTGCAGTAACACATTTCCAGATCTCGAACGAGTACTCTACAGCTTTCAGGTCGGTCTCAAAATTTCGCTTATGAATTTTACCAACATTTATGAAAGATCTCATGTCGTACATAATTTCTGTTAGAGCTACGTTAAAAGAAATGAGACGAGGAGAACACTTATCCCAAAGCTTCTATTTGAGATGTGCATTTGCTCACTCACGCTAGGGCACTAGTATCTACCGTTATATTTTACAACTACTATTTGGTTGGTAGCTTTTTCCCTTCTGTACCGTGGTTATTTGCTCGTCTACGTACAGCAGCTGAACTATCACAAATAAACAATAGTTTCCTTTTAGTGCTATGTTTTGTTATCTCCTCATAAATACCTTATAGGATTGGCTAGTGGCTTCTTCAACTGGAAATCGATATGGTTTTTATATTCAGCCACTTTTTTCGTCGATAAATTAATGTCGGTAATTTATAGCGTGAAACTCGTCTCCTTCTCGATCATCTCTCGTTGCGTCTACTTTCACTTCCACAGATTACCGTACTGCCTGGCCTAACGGCGTGTCTTGGACGTGAACGCACCGAAAACGAAAGCAACAATGAAAGCTTCATTCGCCACCATATAAATCGAGAGGTTTGCTATTTGAATTGATTTTATCGGCTGGTATACATGAGTCTATTGAAATGTTCTGGTTCATGTTGCGTAAATAATGAATTGAAGTTAAATTTTCCTGAATTAAGCCCATCAGAGTTTTTCTTTCCATTTGTTGGATTCGGTTGCAGAATAGCTCCTTGTTTCAATCCCACGTCCCGTTTCTTCTTTGTGACATAGTTGCGCTTTCGCATCCTCTTTCTTCTAAAACGTTTTCTATTTCAAACAGTGTTTTGTTCGCTATTGCAATTGACAATTGCGACATAATTCTTTGTCTTCAGTCTGACCAATTTTAAAAAATACTCGTAATAAATTTTTATCCTGGAAGGACACTCCACGGAAGAAGCCACAATTTGAACGTAGTTCGTTTTTGCTATAGTCGTACAGAACTAACTATGTAGCTGAATCCTAATGTATGAAGCGACTTTCGATATGTGTTTTGCTGAAGGTTAGAATTCCGATGGGGTTTTAGCTTTTAGTTTTTAACGGTTTCGTAGCCATTGAATGTGAACCACTTCATAGGCCTAACCTGTCTAAATCACTAATTTAGTTCATCGACGATCATGTGGATGAGTACTCGCTCGAGGAGTTGTATCGGCTTTTGGATGTCGTACAAAGCGATCTGGACAGTATGCGATCGAATCCTGAATCGGTAAGCTTTGCTGACTTTTGTATTTCTTGTTCTTCTCTGCTGTTTAAGTAAGCACTAGCAAAAGTTGGAGCAGTTCCATTTTCCGTTATTACAACAGTTAACTCGTTGTAAACTTTCTTCTGTGCGTATGAAAAGAGATGAAAAGTCTGAGGTAACTCAAGGCCAAGAGGGGGGGGAGGGGAAGAAGATTTGTTCATGAATAAAGATTTACATGCTATGGCTGAACAGATAATCAAGCCCTTCGAACTATTTTTCCAGTTTCCTCCAGTTTGCCAAAATCTTTGTCAAAATTCTTGACAGATTCGAAACTGAGTCATATATGTAATGAGCCACGTGACAACAATACACATAGTGATACGACCACAACCGCGAGCAGATTAAGCCACCCATCCTACCGCGATCGGCAGGCTGGTGCCAAACTTGTGTAGGAGGACAAAAGCACTGACTTCGTACAGGAATACGCTATCGAAAGTCGTGTTGTGTAGATTATACACTCCGTAACGGATGCGCCCCACTTAACTCTTCGAATGGAGTAGGAGCAATTCTTTGTCGGCGGCAGAATTCCTTGTTTTTTTTGACAGTAGAAATTAGTCTTTCAATGAGAGTGCTTTAAGGGTTGTGAGCATGACGTTCTTCGAGTATTAGTGATATATTTACTGTTTACTCCATATTACCATAGTCCATTATTCAAATATATAAGTATTGATGCCAGCGTTTGAAAACATTTTGCATCCTATGTTGAGCCTTTAAGTGTTTTTTTTATACCCGGGAATTTCATACAATGAGTATGAAGGATGAACGATAAAGCTCTCGGCGTCGATCAATCCCTGAAGGGTGCACTATGCATTCGACTTCATTAAGTATCGCTGGAGGTGATTGAATGCATGTCTGGCCTTTACAATGACTCGTGGTGGCCTAACAATGTATCAAGCCAGTTGTGATATCCTCCCAGACAAGTCTGGTACCAATTTGCCGACTCCGAAGGGATGGAGGGCTTGGTAGGCTAGGACCGCGGGAACCGATCCCATGTGCACTGATGGCGCCTTCTACCACGGTGGCCTAACGATGTATCGAGCCAGTGCTGCTATCCTCCCAGACAAGTCTGGTACCAATTTGCCAACCCCGGAGGGATGGAAGGCTTGGTGGGCCATGGGCGCGGGGAACGATTCCACGTGCGTGTCGCAGCGGCGCGTCCAACTACTGCGCCACACGCGCTTTTACAAGGAGCGTAGTTAGTAACAGTTAACTATAGGTGAAGTTATCGGTTAATGAACTTTTTCGAGTTTTTTTGTAGATCATCAGGTGTAGAGAATGGTTTCTTTGGTCTCACCTTTGCTATTCGATCTGTTTTCTATTAGCTATTGTCGGTAAACCAGTTTTCTGTGCAAGTTTAATGGATCTATTTCATGGCCAACAGAACTGACGTTTGTAGCTGCCTTGATAATCTAACGCTGCATTGAGCACCTGAGCGAGAGATATAGTAAAAAATAATGAAAGAGCCTGTAAGAAGCACCTAATAATCGCAAGCTACATCTGACATTTTGTGCAAAATATTCACTGTTTGAAAGAATATCAATGTCTTTATGTGTCCGTAGTTCTACCATTATTTCACATATTTGTATTCAGAATCGTCGCGGGCATTATATTCAGCGTTTGACGAGTCTGGAAGAGAAGATGCAGAAATTCCATGAGTGCATCTCGCAAAAGTTGAGCGCTGAAACTATTGGTTTGGCGTCAGGAGACGATGAGGTTGGCGACGCTATCGCCAACGTGCTTGCTCCCTATCGCGATGAACCAGGTCAGCCGTCATATTTAGATCGCTTCCGAAGGAAAAAGGTATCACATTACCGATAATGGCTTGGAGCTCTTTGAACAAGCACAGTAACACATCTGGGCTTCTTCAAGATGACTCGTACTGCATGCTGTTTGCACGGTTTTGTCGCAAAACAAGAAAAGATTTGTTATCACTAAATGTTATCAGCGTTCGAGATCACTATGAAGTATTGGACGCACACCCTACAGTTTTTAGATACTTGTTTTTTTATAAGCAGTGAAATTTAAACTCTAATAATGAGGCGAAGCGTCCTTGTTTCTGAAATGTTGCTTAGTATAGTTGGTTCATCGTTCTGGTTCTGGTTGAGGTTCTTGGGTTTTTTGAATGCAGTTTTATTAGAAGCACAGTGATAGCTATTCATTACGAAGTTGAGACATTTCCATAAGCAAATACTTCATGCCTTCAAGTTTTGTCGACAATTTTGACTTTAAAATGGGTTCAGAATCATGAATAGAACTTGAAAGGATCATCTTGTCATAGGTAGTGCTCACTAATCATAGAGTAATGATTTGGGCGAGCAACAGTTTGGTTTCCAGTTGTCTTGACCTCGAAGGATATGTTAAGTGTTGTCATATGAGAACATACTTTTCTGACGAAACGATGTCCAGTGTAGTGCACGGGTCCAGATAATGGCGGCGGCATACAGAGGTGGAGCAATTTTGCTGGAAAGCATCCCTAGTAACATCCTAACTCTACGCTAATACCTTCATGGCTTATTAAGCTATCACGAGGTTGATAGGAAGGTTTATTCGGTTAACACTTCGACGTCTTCGTCTTCCTCAGAGCAGATGATCGGAGTAGATAGGTCGTTCGTACTCTCGATGTGGTGTCTTGCTCTTCGTATCGAGTCCAATATTTCTACTAACTCTATTGCAGGTTTTTGTGCGAGTTAACATTTATAATAACATTGCATTTACACTTACATTCAAGGCACACCCACATCTTTATAACTGCATTTATAGAGAAGCTATAAGTCTTTTTAATGCCATAAAAACTGGTGGTCCATCTCGCGAAATTATCTGCGGCTTAGGTCGAAGGCATAGGGCTTTAGGCCCACGTTCAATTTTCTTTACGCCATCTAGTTTTAAGGACGGACAGGTTGCAGTGACATAACGAAGGTGAGGTCCGTGCTAATGGAAGATTAGTGGAGAACTGCAAAGGAAAAACCATAGAAATCGAAGTACTTACAGACTCTTTTAAGGTACATCTGGTATGCGACGATTCAGTCGTGAGTACTCACGAACCGAAACCTCTTCGACAAGTCGAAAAAGTTCAAGAGCATCAATTTAACGCGTACAATATTTCACAATAGTGTTTGCATCAATTCCATTACTGTTGGAGTTTTTTTTTTACTTCACTGCCACCGGTTTTCTCGTTGTTGTATTTCTTCTGTTTTGTCACTGATTTCACCTTTCACCGAACGGATTGTGATGTTCCCCACTATCAGCTATAACGAGTGGCCAGTTATCACAAGAGAACATATCTGTTGGTTCTACAAGATCCTTCTTTGATGTTTACTAGTTTAATAACTTGGTGACTTTCTATAGACACGTTTACTGTGAATATGTTTTTATTTCATGTGACCAGAGTGATTAACTCTTTACGTTAACTGCCAACTGAATTGATTTTTGTTTCTTTTCCTTTTCATTGCTGTTTTATTCATTGTTCCTATCGGATTTTTCATTTCACTTCATCCACAGTTTTATCAGTTTTGACTAGTATTTCTTGATGTTGTGGTTTTTACCTTTGTATTATTCCATGTTCGCGGATTTCCTGGTCTCCTAGAAATGAACGGGTTTGGTGGACCTTAATAGTGGAGCTTTTATATTTTTCTTTATGTTCTTTGTTTCCTATGTGCGAACTTGATTGTCTTGACTTTTGAACTCGTAGAAGACCCTTGAAGAGTAGTGACAATGAGTGGTTGCTCAGACGAAATCATGTTTTTACCCATATATTTTGTATATTCTCTCTCTACGTTTCGTTCATTACAAAAGGAAAATTACAAATAAACATTCATTGTGTATCAGCATATGATTTATTCACCTTTACATAACGAAGGTGAGGTCCGTGCTAATGGAAGATTAGTGGAGAACTGCAAAGGAAAAACCATAGAAATCGAAGCACTTACAGACTCTTTTAAAGTACATCTGGTATGCGGCGATTCAGTCGTGAGTACTCACGAACCGAAACCTCAAAAACCTTTACCAGTGCTGAGGATTCTGCACTTCACCCTGTTAAATGCAGTGCAATCAAGCGACTAGTAAATGAGGAATATCTGACCATTTTACCACTTTATCACCATTTTATACCCATTTTCTCAGCTATTTCTATCGATCTTTGATACAGCAATCACCCGTCAGCGGGACTGAGAGACAGGCGAAACAAAGGACCCGCATGGTGTGGTGGTGAACGCGTTACTCCCCGGAAAGGACAGTAGCGCGTTCGTTTCCCACCATAGACACCTGCGGTCTAGAGTTTTGCAAATATCTCAGCAACGTTGTGGTTGTATATCGCTTAGTACCCTGCCGCGAAATCATAGTAGGCAGAAAATAAAAAGGTATAACTAAAGAGTGTAACAAAAACCTCGTGTGTTATAGAGAAAACAGCCAATTATTGATAGGTGTCGAGGGTGAAAACGTCGATCTTGGGAATTACTGCAAAATGCATTTCAGTAGCTTGTTATTTATGCGATTACGACATACATTCCTACTTGTTCATCCATTTTCAAGCTGCTTTTCGTTTTCTAGCGCAACCTTTCTTTCGGTTTTGAAGAGATAACTCAACCCAGTAACTCAACCCAATCATTGACAGCAGCAATAATAAAGCTGCTATTACATGATAGATAGCTTCTGAAATATCAATATTTCAGAAGTCAACAATCATATATGAGAAAGCAGTTCTGTAAAGACAACACATTACGAATGAAATCAGATAACTGGGAAAAGATTTAACGTGCAAAAAGACGGAAAGAGACGTTAATTATGCAAGCAAGAAACATGACGTAATCACTAGAGATTACAGATGTTTTTGAAACTTTTGGTGCAGATACAAAATAGCTTAAGAGACACAGAAACTTATCTCGCTAACACAAAACACCCTCTAGCCAAATTCACAATCTTTAGAGTATGAAGAGGTGTCAATAACTGCCAGAAATCGAATAAGAAATGCAGCAGAACAACGAACACGTACGAGTTATCTGTTGTCAGTGCTGTTAAAATGGTGTGACAGCATAACCGATATCGATAAATTCATCAAAGTCACTCGTGATGTACTCAAATTTATCACCTCACTGAAGAGGTATTAAAGTGCCACGTATGATGTTGGAAAACGGCCTGTTTTACAGTCAGCACCACTACGACTGAACACATGACCAATCAGCCAGTCGTCACCAATACGATCCTTGACTACCACACATTCACCGGCTCGAACCTTTAGATGGTGAACAGACGTCAATTCAAAGATCCAATATCAAATGTTAACAGACAGCTTCTATTAGGTTGTTCAGAAATAAATGAGCTTTTGGAAAAATTTATTGTCTTAATGTACTTTTTACCAATAAAATATTTTTTGCACCTTGCAATACTATATATCACCAGGAAGCTGTTTTTGTGCTCTTCCTAAGCATGTCTTTATCATATTTTGTCAAAAGATAATTTTCTTTTACCAAATTTGAGTTTTGCAATTTAAGATGTCGAAAACGAATTTTCGTCAAATTTTGTTCTATGAGTTAAAACTCGGTTGTAATGCAGCAGTGATGGCTCGAAACTTTAATGAAGTTTGGGGTTAAGCTAGTGTTGGTGAATCCACAGTGCCACATGGTTCCATTGAAGTCGCTAGAGGAAGCAAACAGGCGAACAACTGTTCCAGAACTTGCACAACAGATTGGCGTAAGCGCAAGAACAATTTCCACTCAACAACTCAAAAGACCTACTTTCTACAAACCTCGGCATAGATATTTGATATATTTATTTATATAATCTTATAAACTGGGACTTCACTCGTAACGTCACGGCTCTAAGGAATGCGAAATCGCCGAAGTGTCAGCCATCGACCAACAAGAACAATATCAACAACAACAACAATGACAACGACAACAAAGACCTATACCAACCTCGCATCAGCTAAAGAAGATCAGTTTATAAGATCATATAAATAAATTTCCACTCACTTGAATCCCATAGGAGTGGAAAAACTAGACAAGTGGGTGCCGCACGAAGTAAACGATAATAAAAAAAATCGTCGTTTTGAATTATCGTCTGCTCTTATTCTGTGCAACAAAAGCGACCCTTTTCTTGATAGAATTGTGACGGCGGAGAGGAGTGGACTCTGTACGACAAGCAGCGACGTTCAAATCAATGGACTTCCTTCCCTTCCAAAAAGCCGGAATTGCACCAAATAACGCCATGGTGACTGTTTGGTGGTCTGCAGATGGCTGACTCACCACAGCTTTTTTGATCGGGGCAAAACGATTACGGTAGAGAAGTGCTGCGAACAAATCGACAAAATACACCGTAAACTCCAACGACAACTGGAATTAGTCAACAGAAAAAGATAAATCTTCCTCCACAACGCGCGGCATCACGTTACAGAACCAGCTCTGTAGAAGTTGAACAAGTTAGGGTATGAAACTTTGCCTCATCCGCCATATTCACCAGACCTCTTGCCTGCTGACTATCACTTCTTCAAGCACCTTGACAACATCCTGCGCGAGAAGTGCTTCACCAACCACGATGGCGCAAAAAACGCCTTCAACGAATTTATTGCTTTCAGAACTCCAGAATTGGAATGAAATAAATAACTGTTTCTCGTCTGCAAAAATGTGGAAATTTAAATCGCTCTTATTTTGATCAATAAAGTTTCGTTCCATGATATTTTAACTAATGTAGTTAAAAACGCTCATTTATTTCTAAACAACCTAATATTCGTTGGAAGTTCGTTGCCAGGTTTCGTTATAAATTCTAGAAAGTGCTAACCTTTATCTCATCGTCATGTTTCGGCTCAAAGTCATACAGTACCCTATAAAGCGGTGAATGATTTGCAGCATCATCGAATACGTTGGTTCGCTGTGACGAAGTATTAAAGAAGTCTTCGTCAGATATCTGAAGCTGTCTATTTCTTTGCAAATTCATTTAATATCTGTTGATTTCCTTCACATTTTAGATTGGGCGGTTTTTTTTTTAATTTTTCCAATTGCTGTAAGCTAGCCTTCGATTTCAAATGTGGTAAACTTCCAACTAATCAAAAAATAAAAGAACACATGCAAAACTACTTATTTCAATCAAATTTGGACAAGTTAGGTGTCTGGATACGTGGCCGAACCTAGGTTACATGAGATTTGTCTCTGATATGCTTGTATATCTGCGAATTTGATCCTGCACATTAATTCAGCCAAATCTCTGCAATCGGGTGACTGTTAGACGTATGTGGGAGGCGATTCGAGGTAGCTTCTAACAAGGTACCTCGAACTTTGAACGAGCTCAACAAGTTATTCTTATGTACACCCTACGTAGCAATGTAGAAAAGGCGTTGTCCTTCAATATTACGCATGTACTAAACAGTTAAAGGATCTGTAGGAAAAGAAAAGCAAAGAATGTGAAGCCACTTGGTAAGCATAGAACAGATTGTTTTCAGTGGGTGTTTTGTCTTGGCAAAGCATTTTTACTGCCAAATTTCAAAGTAATGTAAAACAACTGCTTTATGATAGAATTTCGCTTTTTGACAGTCCATGAATTTGTCCATGGAGCTCCTTCAGTTATGGTATTCAACTAATAGATTGCTGCTAGTCATACGATACCCACAAACAATTTATCTCTAGTTCTTCAAGTTTTTTCCGTGATCAACAATCCATAACTAACAAAAAACTGATGAAGAGGAAATTATCGGCATATATCAGTCCAGCTTTAATATCCTAATATGGGCACACGTAAGTAAAAGCTCAAAGTTAGAAAAGTCATTTTTACATCAACTCGATATCACAATAACACTCTTAGATCTCAGTGCACTAATGAAATCCTACAATAACCTCTTCTTCTTTCACTTTAAGTCACCTACTTAAAGTTGTAGAATAAAAAGCTACCATATTCGCCCACCTTGTCGTAGTCCTCGTATTCCTCACTACTTGACCGTGGTGCCATTCCCGATGCCACATAAATTCCTGATATTGAGGCAATCGACGGCGGTGGCAGTGACTGATCTTCGCCAGCAAGTGGAATCATCAACACTGTCGTCAACAGACCCTAAACTGCTGAAATCACCCACCGGCAGTGTGAAAGTTTGCTGAATCGAACAAGTCCGATAATGTAGTACCTGAAATTGGACCTAATGACCCAACGACCCTAATGACCTCACATTTTTTATAAAATCCATCTTTCACATCTACTGTGCGGATCGCAGCACTTCTCACATTCGATTCATTTTCTCGCATCCATAATTCATGAAGGTGCTCTAACTTTTAACGTTTGGCTTCAGTTTCTCTTGAGGATTTCCCTTTCTTGAATGTCGTTGAATGGTGGTGGAGAAAATTACCTCTGGAGTCCTGAGAAAGACGGGTTAAATCGTTCCCATTTCAATTGCAGAGTGATTTTTTCGCCGACTAATCCGGTACAGATTCCCCGATCTCGGAGGGGTGAAGGGGATGCTGAGACATGGTTGGGATTGAAAACAATCCCTTGCACGTCATGATCGACATCACTACCACTGTGCTACTGCTACTCCACTTTCATGTTATAACAATAAAAAAGAAGAAAAGAAGCCTTCAAAGAAGTCGTAGCACTTTAATAACTTGCCAAAAAAAACGATTAAACCGTGAATTAAAAGTGAATTGTTGAAGAAATAATGAGAGTCACTAAGGAGTATAATAACCAAACAGATGAACATAGAATTTACACGACTACGTGACCTCTAAAGAATTCATGCGATGTGACAGATTTCAACTTTCAGTCAACATAATCCAGCTAATATTGAATTTTATTAGTTACAATGAAAACAACTAAAATCTGCAAATCCTTGTGTGCAGAGCAAAAATTCTCCTGTTTTACTGTGATGAAATTCTGATTCTCTGGAGCCCACGAGATATATTTCTTCCGTTTTTTGCTCCAAGGGTCATATTTCGAACAGGAAAGCAAATAAACAAGCGGGCACTTCCCACGACCGACTTTCTATTAACCTCGGCATTGATCAAACAATTCTTCGTATTTTTGTTGAGCAAACGCGAGGTGTTATTATTCTTTATTCACGAATAAGCTGACGTTTCGGCGGATTTCGCCTTCCTCAGAGCCTGGAAAGGTCAAGTTGATAGCAATCTACTCGGCCAGAAGCCTCCATAATCAAACAAAGAAATCCTAAACCAAGATTTCGATCACGTATGCCTCCATAACCAAACAAAGAAACTCCAAACCAAGATTTCAATCACTTTGAACACAGCTTTGCACACTCACCGCTTTCTGTGAAGTCTCCACTAAGTATGTCACGTAGAGACCAACCGCACAGAAATCACATGGAAGCATAATGTGCCCCTCCCATCAGAATAGCAGTCTTATATACTGCCCTATACCACGCGTGATAATGAGGCATTCTTCCCTGCGGTTCATTTTCGGATTTCTGGAATTAATCCAGAACGCCTTGCTTCGAGAGTTTTGCGCGCCTGTGTTCTTGATTCGCGTGCGAGGATCGTGACACATACTTCAAAGTCGTCCCCGTTATGTCTCTGGCTCCTATGCGTGCCTAGCGGGGTATTTGGTCTATGTTTACCGGCTAGGTGTTCTTTTATGCGGACACAGAGGGTCTACCCGTTTCGCCAATGTATTCGTCACCGCACGTCTTACAGGAGATCAGATAAACTATACCCGAGCTCATGCAATCACCGTCTATACCACTGGGGCAAGTTACGCAATTTTGAGTTGCACATAGACGGTCTTAAAGGCGGTTACGAACTAGCTGGCGCTTAAGATTACTCGGTGGTATTTCAACTACGCTCACCGAATTCTCTAAGCCCGCCCTTCTTAAGCAGCGTTTCATAGCTGTACGTTTTATAGCTTAAGCGGCATTTCGTCTATGAGAAGACGGCGGTTTTCCCAAAGCATCTTTTAAGTTCCCAGGATCGACTTTCTCTTAACCTCGGCATTGGAATATGAATGTGTCGTTTTCTTGTTCACCAACCGGGAGTTTTTTAAACAGCATACATTTACTTCCATAGAGAGACACAATACAATACAACACTAGCTGACGTTTCGGCAGCATCGCCTTCTTCAGAGCCTGGAAGGGTATGCTGATATGCAATCTACTAGGCCAAACGCTTCAATACCACTTACAAAAAGACGCAAAACTCTATGGTAATTGCATGGTCAACAGCTTCTCGAAAAACTCACCGCTTTTTACGTGACTTCCAATGAGGAAGTTTAGAACAGCTGATTATAGTCGCATATGGTTGATGACTGCACCATCCCACATCAGAAATTGATGCGAACATACGGAGTCAGGTCGCATATGACCTCTGGGCATTTATCCCTGCTATTCATTGTAAGGTTTTTGGCACTTATCCAAAAAGCCTGAAGAAGTTTCGCGCTGGTATTTTAACCTCCTGTGCAAGGATATTGACTTTTACTTCAAAATCGTCTCCGCTATGCTTTTGTATCCTATGCGTGCCTAGTGGGATGCTTCGTCTTAGTTTTCGTTTGCCATCTAGGTGTTCTTTTATGCGGATACACAAAGGTCTGCTCGTTTCGCCAACATATTCATCTCCGCAATTATTACAAGAGATCAAGTATATCGTACCTGAACTCGTAATCACCGTCCCTGCCGTAAGGGCAAATTACGCAATTTGCTGTTTTACATACATGGTCATAGAGGCGGTTAGGAACTAATTGACGACGTAGAGTAGCCGGTGGTATTTCAACTATCACTACCGATTCCTCTAGACCTGCCGTTCTTAAGCATCGTTTTATAGCTACGCTTACTTCATCGCTTATAAAAGGCAACATAAACGGGATTTTCTTTTGGTCAAGTATTTCGCGTGGGCGCGACGCTCTCCTTCTAAGCTTATCTCGTGGGATTACTATTTCGTAGCCATTGGAGATGGCTATTTGCCGGGCCTAGTCGCGCGTTTCATCGTTTACTTCCCTGGTAGTGCACTCAGATGTGGCTGTTCGAAACATGTTTCTCACAATCGCCCTCTTTGTGTGTGAAGGGTGGGAAGAAAGGAAATGAACAAAAATGTTCTAGGCTTTCGGTACCACTTTGTCAAGTAACCGCTACTTGAAAGGTTTATTTGAACGTTCAAAAAAGGAAGCCAGTTTTTTCTCGCTTTGATAGTATCCTTGCACAGGAGGCTAAAACACCAGCACGAAAACTTCTTGAGGCTTTTTGGATAAGTGCCAAAAACCCTACAATGAATAGCAAGGATGAATGCTCAGAGGTCATACGCGACCTGACCCCGTATGTTCGCATCGATTTCTGATGTGGGATGGTGCAGTCATCAACCATATGCGACAATAATCAGCTGTTCTAAACTTCCTCATTGGAAGTCACGTAAAAAGCGGTGAGTTTTTCGAGAAGCTGTTGACCATGCAATTACCAAAGAGTCTTTCGTCTTTTTGTAAGTGTTATTGAAGCGTTTGGCCTAGTAGATTGCATATCAGTACACCCTTCCAGGCTCTGAAGAAGGCGATGCTGCCGAAACGTCAGCTAGTGTTGTACTGTATTGTGTTTCTCTATGGAAGTAAATATATGCCGTTTAAAAACCTCGCGATTGCTGAACAAGAAAACGACGCATTCTAACTATACAATTATATGCCCAAAACGCCATAGGTACCTTGAGACTTAAATGAAACCAGAAATCGAGAAATAATCGTCATTTTGTATTCTTTCTTTGATGAGCTTACAAGAGGTTGATAATGATGCTTATTTTCGGCTAACGTTTCGACGTCTTCGTCTTCCTCAGAGTCGATGATCCGAGTCGACGGTCCTCGCTTGCTATTCTGCAATCTTTGCAACTGCACCGACTTCTGCACGATGTGCGCAATGATGTATGTCCGGAAGAAAAACTAGTTGTTATCACCAGACATTATCATTATATCGACCATCAGCATCGTGTATAAAAGGGCATCACTGAGTAAGGATGCCTCATTCGAGGAGATGGCTCACTGAAGAAGACCTAACTCGACACGAAGGCGAAGCTGCCACGTCGAGGCGAATAACGAGCGAGGATCATCGATTCGGATCATCGGCTCTGAGGAAGACGAAGACGTTGAAACGTTAGCCGAAGATAAACGTCATTATCAACCTCGTGTAAGCTCATCAAAGAAAGAATACATATTGATTAGTGATACCGAGGTTCAGGGAAAGCCGGTTTCGAAATAATCGTCATTTGTCGGAAAACCAGATTCTCCACAAAAGGGCCAATTTTATCAAGATAACAAGGCAAAATGTCAACGTGAACAAGAAAATACGTTTTGCAATAGAAACAACAGAAATCGGTTTTGCCACTGTAATTAAACCTACGGCCCACAAAAAAAAAGAATGACTCCAACTTTCAAACCTCTTTCCAACGTTCCAAACCTTTGAAAACACTCCAATTGTAAACAACAAATATTCATACTAGTCAACCCGATGAGCTGTGCTTGCATATGAAGAATTACTAAGGAAAAAAACCGTACCGCCTTGTCTTTCGTTTTCTGCTGAAATCGAACTAATCGATGATATCCACGATGTTGGCCTCCATCCAGTGACTCGATGGCTTCATTCACCTTGTAGTATAAATATTCGATAAATTCGACGAGTGTCTGAAAACCACTTAAGATGTAATGGTGTAAATTTTAGAAAATCCTACGTCAACTAGCACTATGAGGACCGATGAACTTCATTGAGCAAATCATCTACAAACATCCTCTTCACTACCACGCTCTCACCATTCTTCCTGGGTACTTCAAAGAAGAAACGGTAAGGCGCTCGGCGCTTATAAATCCCTGAGGGTTGTACACTGCATTCGACTCTATTTGCAACATTGCAGAGATGGTGATTAGATGCATATGGGAAGCTGGGAGCTATTCGTTGATTCCCATGACCGACTTTCCATTAACCTCGGCATTGATCAAGTAATTCTTCGTATTTTTGTTGAACAAACGTGAGGTGTTATTATTCTTTATTCACGAATAAGCTGACGTTTCGGCGGATTTCGCCTTCCTCAGAGCCTGGAAAGGTCAAGTTGATAGCAATCTACTCGGCCAGACGCCTCCATAACCAAACAACTCTAAACCATGCCTCATTATCACGCGTGATATAGGGCAGTATATAAGACTGCTATTCTGATGGGAGGGGCACATTATACTTCCATGTGATTTCTGTGCGGTTGGTCTCTACGTGACATAGTGGAAACCTCATAGGAAGCGGTGAGTGTGCAAAGAAGCTATTCTGTGCTCAATGTGATTACAATCTTGGTTTGGCGTTTTCTCTTTTTGGTTATGGAGATGTTTGGCCGAATAGATTGCTGTCAACTTCACCTTTCCAGGGTCTGAGGAAGGCGAAATCCTCCGAAACGTCACCTTTTTCGTGAATAAAGAATAAGAATAACACCTAGCGTTTGCTCAACAAGAATACGAAGAATTACTTGACAAGGTGTTTATTGTAGGCCACCTTCAGCCACTGCTAAGCATGCGCTCCATAAGATATTTTAGGATTTTAAAGTTTTAGGTTCAGGCATTTTGGAGATTTCATCTCATTTTAACCGTGTACCTAATGTGGAATACATACAGGAAGTCATATCACTGTACTATTCTAAAGCATGTTAGCGACAAGAAATTAACGCCAAGACCGCTCAAATGAGTTCCTTTTGCAGCGAACTGGATGAGTTGACGACGTTGACGAACAATAAAGGTTAAAGGGCCCGTGTAAGCCAGCATTGATTGTACCGTTTTTTAGCGTTCATTCAAGATTCCACTCTTTTTGTGACTTTTATACCACTGCTTTTTTCCCGTGAATCGTCCATCGGTGAAATGAATGGTGAATTTGGCATGATGCGTCCAATCGTAAAAATTTGTGCGTCATGCGAAAGAGCTGTTGAGTGTAAAGTTATATCACCCCATATGAATGCTCACTGACCCACCAGAGACTTTTCGTGGAAAAAAAAAACTGAAAATAAAGCTCTTCATAGTATGTCGATAATGTTGTTCATGTCCGACAAGTGATTTAGCTCACTAATGGATTCCTTTGGTACGCTACGGAGAAGAGTGGAAATTAACTCGTGTCAGCTTGTATTACTTGACTACCAAAGGGGTTGCGGGTGACAGAAGAACGAATGCTTTGCAACATTTTCTAAAGCTGAGTAAATTTTCATGAATTAGTGGACAGTTACTAGTTATACTGAAGTGCGCTGAAAAGTTTTTGAAGCTTCTGATTACGAATTCCTTACCAGCTTAACAGCTTTGTTATTGTCATCTTCATGTTGCTGTCAGTCTTTGCCCATCTACATGGGAAGAATCCTAAAAAGTTTGCAGTCACTGGAAGTGAGAAGTGTGGTGTTCCCAAGAGCCAGTGTTTCCACGTGCAAAACTGTTGTCGCGTGAACTGAAACGAAGACCTGCATCAGGTTTTTCTCTGATGTTACTTAGGTTTGAAAGGAATGTTATACTATGCTGCTGTCGAACAACGAGTACCACTCTGACAGTTCTCGTCTGTTCAACATGAAAGATTAGAAAGTTCCTAACTTCAAATAAATTGTTTCAAACACAAAAAATTCTTTCCTTTTATACAATACTTGCAAAGGTAAATCATCTAACAATTTCGTAAATTAGTTGAGGCGTTCTTCCCCGGTGGGCATATTTTTCGCAGTTTTCCTTCAAACTTCCGTTAGTTTTGAGACCTCAACAACACCACAAGTGGGCGGATAGCACAGTGCTAGTGATGTCTGTCATCACGAGCATGCTGCTAGTTCGATTCTTTTCCGGGCCAACAAAGTCTCTCATCTCTCCAGGGTCCGGAAATTGGTACCGGACTTGTCTGGGAAAGAAATCACTCTTCAATTCGGAACGTTCCAGCTCGGCTATCTCAGGTCTCCAGGGAAAAATGCTCAACCAGCATTCTACGACATTCGAGATGAAATGAAAACCCTCAAGCAGCAACAGAAGTCACACGTAAAAGTTGGAAGGTTATCGTGTACAGTGGATGCGAGGAAACGAATCGAACGTGAGAAGTGCTGGGTTCAGCACAATAAATGTGAAGACGGATCACATAAAATAAAAAAAATAAAAAAATACCACATGTGTTCGGAAAGCGTCATATTTCAGTTAAAACATCCGAAAATTATCTACGATGATTTTTGATAGGTGATTAACAGATTGTCTTCCCAACGGCTTACCACTTCATCGTGGCTGGGAGCTGTTCCTGGATGTCGGACTGCGATATACAAAGAGGAGACTCATTCACATGGCAGGGTCTCCCAAGATGAGGAGTTCGGCGCCTCCGTTAGGAAGTCTAGCTAAGAGTAAACCACTACTAGGATCCACCACCGTCCTGGTATAGTGCCATGGTGGCAAATCTTCCTCTGATCCATAAGAGCTGCGACTGTCAATAGTGGTGAAGACCTAAGGCAGACTTTGGCCTGGCTAACCTCTGGATTTCAGAGAGCCATAATGGTATCGCCAGTAAGTCTCTGAATAATGGAGATTATGCTGGGGGCCGCACAACCTGTGAGGACGGGCCATTCAAGTATCAAGTATCATGCAAGTATTAACAGATTGTAGAGTGAAATGACATCTTTGTGAAGCTTCAAATTTCTTTTCAAGAAATTTCGTTGGACATTATTTAGGACCAACTATCTAACCAAGGGAAGCGTGTAGCGCACTGGCCAGAGGCATTCTGCAATATACATGGGATCGATCCCCACACCCAGGCTCACCAGGCCTTCCATCCCTCCGGGGTCGGCAAATTGGTACCAGACTTGTCTGAGAGGATAGCAGCACTGGCTCGAACATCAGCAGGCCACCGTGAATCATTGTGAAAGCCAGATAAGCATTCAATCACCTCCAAACGATGTTTAATGAAATCGAATTCATGTTACATCCCTCAGGGATTGATCAGCGCTGGGAGCTTCATCCTTTTATCCTTTATCTAACTAGACGGACCAATAAATACTTGGTGCCTTCGCCTTCGTCAAAGCTGGATAGATTCGAGTCGATTGTCCACAGCTCTTCGTTTTCCCGATATGAGTATTCGCAATCGCATCGAGTCGAATCCAGTGGAGCATCGCTGGATTGAGGTAACCTCACCCAGCAGCGCTGTTTTCGGCTCCGAGGAAGGCGAAGGCGCCGAACTGTTTGCCGGATAAAATTGCTTATCAACCTCGTGTTAAGCTTATCAGGGAAAGAGTACAAATTGGTTGATCATTTTAAGACTAAAGGAAAGTCAGCTTTTCAAATATTTTTACGCTCTGTGCTTACTGAAAATGATACCAACTACTGCAGGTTGCATTGCACGGAGAAAAACAAACGGTTATCAACTGGCAGCCACTGTTAACAACAATTACCCTGTATGAAAGAGCGCTACCGGGCTATGTTACCTTATTTTAGCGGTTCCGCGATGGATTCGTCTTGATGCGAAGACGAAGAATCCACACCGGAAGAACAAAGAACTGTGGATAATCGACTCGGGTAAATGCGGTTCTGAGGAAGGCGAAGGTGTCGAAACATTAGTTGAATAAACTGCTTTCTCGGCTTCGTCTTAACGGCGCATATTTTGAAGTAGAAGTTACTATGCTCGCACAGGAATCGAAACCTTCAGCGCGCAAAACTTTAAGATTCCGGATAAATTCCAAAGATCCGAAAACGAACTGCAGGGTGGAATGTGTTGTTATCACGCGTGCTCTCACTAGTTTTTAAAACTGATATTTTAATGTTGGAGAGACATATTACCCATCCATGGTAACTCTATGCAGTTGGTCTATGTGTTAAATACTCTGTGGAAGACCATAGAAAGCGGTTAGTGTGCGAGGAAGCATCTTGTTTTCGGTGTGTAGTGAAGCTCGCTTTAGCTTATCGATGAAAGAGAACTGTATCGTATTGTGTATTGTTCTAAACATTGCTCTTATTAGCCATTAAGAGTTGTTTCGCTTGTAAACACTCGGCGTCCAGTTGTGTCAAAAGAAACGCTCTGAGGTACGAACTACGCGAATTTGAAATCAGAGGTCGCGAAGTCGTAGAAATATTAGAAATTATGTGCAGTTCAAGCAGTAGAAACGCTATGAAAGAATATTTCTTCCATTTTCATCTCGGCTGTTCACGGAAACGATCATGTCGAAAAAAGAGCGCTGTGTACACCTAATGACATCTGTTTCGCCATACTGAGGTCTTCGCACTACACCATCGGGTGGTCGGTCACTCACACAGTTGACCCACCACAGCATCCACTTAGATAATCTGAACTTCGTCACGACTCCATCAGAACTTTATCATCAACGTTATGTATTCAATCGTCCATCAATCCTGAGTCGCTTCTTCCACTATCACTATTGATCTCCTTCCAAGGCGTTGATATGAAAGCGTAAAAAGATAAAGGATAAAGCTCTCAGCGGTTATCAATTCATAAGGAATACGCTCCGCACTCGACTTCACTAGACATCGTTAGAGGTGACTGAATGCATATCTAGCCAATACGGTAACTAACGGCGCCCGCTGATGTATCAAATCAGTGCTGCTATCCTCTCAGACAACTCTGGTGCCAATTTCACAGGGCTAGAGGGCTTGGTGAACCTGGGCGCGGTATCGAGCGAACGATCTCGTGTGTATCGCGAGGCACCTCTGGCCACTGGGTTTCATGTGCACGTACACAACTGTATGTTTAATATATTGTTCAGCATTAGTTCATTTCTTTAATTTTCTGGCGTGTTGTGTTGCCTTATCGCGTGTTCAACGCAGTTGTCCTCGAACATCTGCGTGGAGGACGGGTAAAAAACGCTTCTGTAACTCGACGAGTAACAAACAATGATTTGTGTCACACAAATGACTCACTGTCGTTCACTTTTATGGCGTTAAGAAAAAGCAAAATTAACCCTTCTCGAAACTTTAATCTCAGCATGATCAATCCATATCTTCTAAGATCAATGCTTTACCGTTTATTTTCTGCCCACTACAATTTTCACGGCAGGGTACTAAGCGAAGTATAACTATAACGTTGCTGAGATATTTGCAAAATACTGGACCGCAGGTGTTTATGCTGGGGAACAAACGCACTATTGTCCTTTCCGGGGAGTAACGCCTTCACCACCACACCATGCGGGTTCTTCGTTTCGCCTGTCTCTCAGCTAATATGAGGTTCTTATGAAAGTTTTTATTCGGTTCACAATCTGGCAGAAGCTGAACAATCTTAATAGATGTCGAGACCTTTGCTTAAAACGTATTATAACCGTAGTGCGTAATGACATGTTTTCATGCTCTTCCCTACCTTCTTCATGACCATTAACACCACTGAATGCATGACGAGATGGAGTGTCATCAGCTTCTCCTCTACCTGTTACTTTGTGATAATAACAGCTACATCTGGCTGCCTTGGTCCGAAAGATTGCCAAAATTTGATGCACAAAGCAAATGACAGAGATTGTTTATGAGGAAGAGACACAGATGACGAGATCGACATGAGAGTGTACTCGACCTCGGAGAGTGGAGAGCCATAGGATCTGACGACAACGAAGCCCTCCACTGCCTGCCGTCGCCGCCGCCGTTTTGCTCCGCCCTCGTCGTCGTCACCACTGCGCAGAACATCCTGGCGCCGTCGTGCTGATCGCTGGTCGTCGTCACCGTTGTCGCCGTAGCTGAACTTTTTCTTCTGTTTGCCAGCCGATCGTGGTAATCATAGTCTCCGCCGCCGCCGTAAGCTGTGTCCGCGATGAACGCTCGTATGTCGCGTTTGCGACGTTCGTTGTCGCGATCTGTTCAGCAGCTTAGTCTTTCACGATCGAACAGTTTAAACGGTCTAATCGAGTTGCCCACCAGCAGTTATGCTACTTTGGTCGACAAGTTTGCTGTGAGTTATTCAACAAGTCGAATTATCGTTTTATTTTTGTTCGCTTTTCTTTTCGAGTTACATACATAAGTCGATAACAAATGACTGTTAATCATGTGCCAAATCGGAGCAGATACGGACTTCTAATGAATTGATCGATCTTCTGTCGAATTAAGCTTTCTTTTAGTAAATTAGGTATTGCTCATTCCGTTAGAGAGCACGTCGTAGATAGATCAAAATGGTTTTTCGTGGGTTAAGATGACTTTCTTATCCCATAGTTCGCCAAGAGGTTGCACATTTTTGATCTCCAATCTTTGAAAAACAAATTCGCTAGTACAATTCGTATGTAAGCGTAAAAGCATGCTACTTTTACTTTTATCCCTGTACGTTTCGAGGTTTTGTCTGGTCTTCGAGTATTCCATATTGATCTTTGTTATTGACTAACATCATTTCTGAAAGTGTTATTTTCCATGAGCACTGCATCTGTCTTCAACTTTACTGCGGTGATCCAGCCTCATTCAGTTAAGCCACAGCATCAGAAAAAGCTGTTTGCTTGGAATGAAGTCTTGAGGGCGTTTGGTTAAGATATACTACTAATCATTAAGATTGTTCTAATATTTGTGGAAGAGTTTGAGTTTCAGTCGACAAATTTGTAGAGCATCCCTTAAGTTCAGAACTTTGTAAACCGGCTTTTTGCTTATTTTATCTGAAAGAACGGACTGTTCTTATAATTCTAAGAACAAGTAGAGTCATGTTCTATCTAGTAAGGTTGTCTTTCGTTCCTTTTCCGGATTTCACATATCATCTTTCTTTCTTGCTTTCTACTTTTTGCATGTCATCTTTTTGTGTCATCTTGACAATGATTCATTCGATGTACCCAGTGCGTTTCACCAAAGCGCAATTGATGTTGATGTTGATAGGTATTGATCGACTGCAAGTAGGAGTTCATGGTTCAGGCGTGATAATTACCAGGTACGCATTGTCGTGTTATATTCGTCGATCGTTCTTAATGATTATGGTGAATGATTCCAAGTTTGTTGTAATGTGATAACGTGATAACACTTGTGATGTGATGCGTGATAACGAGTGGAAAATTTGGTCGGCTGAGTTAGTGGCTGAATACAGTTTACTGAGCAGCTCGAGCGAACTCTTGTGAGGTCAACTAAAGCCTTTAAAAAGCTACGTCCCGTCATCATATCGCTAGTGGAATGGCCGACCCAAAATATATCTTGATGCAACTGAAATCTACTAGGCGAAACTTAAAGGAACTTACCAGCAGTTAATACGGTATGATGGGGTTTCAGGCCTTGTTTGAACCATGTTGATACGGTAATCTCTGTTAGTCGCAGCTTTATTCACCTTATTCTTTTCGCTTATAAGTCTGTTGGTAGGTTACTGTGGCTGGCTTTGGTAAAACCTGTGTTCACCCATATCACAAGTCAGAGCTGACCAATGAGCACCTCTCAAGACCATTACACATGCTGTATGTTGTTTTTTTAAGCCTTTTTACCTCAAAGGTAGTTCGCTGGTCTCTGCCAGTTTGCTCTCAGTTGTTCATGCATGGAAATTTTTCACCTATGACTCAACTAGATGGCAGTCCTTAATGAAAATCTCATTCAACACCCACAAACACTTCAACTACTGTAGTCCTATCAATAATAAGCCAGTTAACTATTGCAGAAGTGTGTTTATGCTAACAACTACTAATCCAGGATTTGAGCAGTAAGTAATTCCGTAAGGTGAAAGGTTCTTCCCAAGATCGACATGAACAAGGTAGCGTAGATGAATTTGAAAGAAAGGAAGGGCAACATGCTAGTCCTTTTCCCTTGTGCTTCACTCTGTGTGATTATAAGTGAAAAAGTGCTTAAAAGTAGCTATTTTAGATCTAAGGGCAGTGGTAAATAATGTTGTTTTTAAATGTTCCAGTTTTTTGAACATCTAAGTTCCTTTGATATTTTTAGAAGAATGGTCTCTCCTTAGGGTCTGGTCGTCTAAACCGATATGTTTACACTCAAATGTATCATTTTCCAGTGATTGCAATTTGCTTTACACCTTTACACTTCGTCTGTTACAAAAAGAGAGAACGGTTTGATAGGTCTAAATAGTTGATACTTGATATTTGAATGGCCCGTCCTCACTGGTTGTGCGGGCCCCAGCATAATCTCCAATTTTTGGAGATTTGCTGATTGAGCCATTTTGGCTCCCTGGAGTCCTGAGGTCAGCCTGGCCAAAGTCTGTCCCAGGCCTTCACCACCACAGGCAGTCGCAGCCTTTATGGATCAGAGGGAGATTTACCACCATGCGACCTTGATACCAGGAGGGTGGTGAATCCTGGTATTGGTTTACTCTTAGCTAGTCTTCCTGATGGAAACGCCAAACTCTTTCACAGCTTGGGAGTCCTGCCAGGGGATAAATCCCCCGCTGTACATCGCAGTCCGACACCCAGGAACACATCCCAGCCATGATGAGGCGGTAAACCGTTGGGAGGGTTTAAATAGTTGTTTGTGTAAATAAATAAGCGATAATGGCGAAAACGAGAAGAGAACGTTTCTCTGGAACTTGTGGCGATCCGGAAAAACACATTAGACCGACTAGATGACTATAGCTATCATCGCGAGACAAAAAAGAAGCTCGTTCTTCTATGTTGATCTGGACTGATCTATGGTAGATGAGTTGTGGGATTCAGTTTTGGGTTTCAGCACATTGTACGAAGGTTATAATGTGGAATCGATGGATTGATTCGGTGCCAGTTCGGCAGACTGGTTCGATTATTGTGCGGAATGCGGTCGGTGCCTCAACTGCCTGTTTACCCAATAACATGCGTAGGTGTTCGGAACGTATCAAACTATTCGCAAACACATTAGAACCATGTGCTGGTTTCATTATGAATGATATCCATGATGATAAGTGGATTTAGTACTAAACTAAGTCCATGAAACGCGGGAAAGTGTTCCTCTGCACAGTTTTTTCTTATTTTAGAAATGTTGTTCCCTTGAAAATTACGTTTGAAATGACTTTTTGACATTCTTGCAAGTAGTTTGCGGTCAGCCGAACTTTTTGAACTGCTAGGATTCTGGAAAAGATTGTTTGAAAGTTTTTACTGACCACAAATGTGCTGATATTTGCAAGACTTAGACCTTAGCTCAGATTCGAATCATCGATCACGCTTTGCTGGGTCCACACGTTACCCACTGCACTACTGAGTCTCTTGCTTTACCCTTCTGTCACCCTGTTTTTTTACACTAACGATATCACTCAGCAGTTACCGAGTTCGAATCAGATCTGGTTGTTGTTGAAATATTTCAGCATAATTCTGGTTGTATTTCACATAATGATTATACCCTGGCATGAAAAAAGTACTAGGTAGTAAATAAAAAATGAAACATTGAAAGTTTTGATTTCCAT